TTTCCCTGGCCAGGGCTAAGCCTGGGCAGCAGGTTTCTGTCACACACAACCCAGGTAGCAGCCCTAGGTATCCAAAGCAGGAGTCCCTTCTGTAGCTGTTGTTTTTTACTAACCAAGCTACTTAGGTTTGGTGGGTGTCTCACTTGCCCAGTGAGATGCTTGTGCCCCCTGAGAGAACCAGCCTCGCTGTAATTCCAACTAGACTTCGTGACCTCCTGGAAAACATCAGACTACAGTTTTCCCTTGCTTTCCAGTATGAACAAATTAGACCAACTCAACATCTTAATTATATGGTCTTGGAAATCCTATGATCACCTGGACCTTTCCAGCAACTCTGCAAGGACATCGCCCTTTTTGTCTCTTAGGGAGAAAAGAAATCCTTTCTTCTTTTAGTCCTTACAAGTTATTTCCCCGATCAATATCTGAGCAATTAGTGTTGCATGGGGTGTGTGGGGGAAGTCTGCTCGTCTTACAGACTCCTCTGCATGTGCTGGCTTCATCTATTTTTCTCTTGCTGTCCTGAAGGCTGAGAAAAACACGATGACATCACCCACTTTGCAAAATGCTTCTCTGCATATCTGCATGTCAAGTAGGATGTGCACTTCCTCTCCTCCTCGCTGCCTCCACTTCCCACTTGTCCCTGTCCTGTTGGGAGCTCGGCTGCAGCAGTCCCTCTGTTCTGACAGGTGATTTCTCATCCTTTCCCCTGCTCCTGCTATGTCTTTGCCAGTGCAATATCACGTTTATCCTTCAAAACATGCAACTCCAATTCCATAATCTTATTATGCATGCCTCTACATTTGTTGAACAGCTTTTCTCGAGCTGCCCACTGCTCTCTGCTGCTAATCTCTGGATGCATTGCTTAGGGATTTGAGAGGTTGCTCTGTAAGCTCTTTTCTTATTATTGTTGATAGTAGTGACAAAATAAGAATGATAAAGCCTCTTGGAGATGCATTCGCGCTACATCTAGAGCGTTCTTCCCCCACATGGGCTTTCTATTCCTGGCCCTTCCTTATGGTGTGCAGTTTCATTCATCTCTAAACCTGCCTGAATTTAGCTTTCAGCAGAGGAAACCCCTCTCTCTAATTGCATGGGTCACATCTTAGCCATGTCTTGTCTGTTTCTGAGGCTCCCATCACAGGGCAGATGTTGACTTTGTCTGTTAAAGCCAGATTGCCCGTATTTTCTTGCATCTGACTTTCATTTTTCTGATGCAGTTACTGCCTTGGCTTTTCTTCTATATATAGGAGACTTTTCCCCTTCATCCTGTCTTCAGAGATCCTCAAAAGCA